AGAAAATAAATTCCACTTGCTTGAAGTTGATCTTTGCTTTAATATTTTTAATGATGTGTTGAGGACAGTGGGCTGGAAGCGCAGGATTAGAGCACTCGGTTCTTTTCTCAATTTTGTCAGGGACACGTGTTAATTCAAGTAAACTCTGACCCTCCTCTTCTCATCCTCCCCAGAGCACTCTGTTTTCTATTGTGTGAAAGATGTCTAGTGATACATATGGCTTTAGATTCTTACAGGTTTTTTTAATACCAAAACCAATGTTTTTCACAGAAATGCAAAACATTTTTCTTGCGTATATTGCACTCCTTCTTAATTCCTGTAAATCTTCTAAATCACATTTTGAATGTCACTTTTTTAGCACAGTATAGTGAACAGTGTTTAAAAACAGAAAAAAATGTTTTTGTACTTTCTCCACTATCCTCCAATCTGCCAAAACTTGGGGCGTTTTGCAAAATTCTGCAAATTGACGTCAGCCCCTTAGGGATAGTAAACACAGCTTAAGTTATAAAAATAAATAACTAAGGAAGGTGGAGAAAAGACATGGAAACCAAAAGAAACCTATCACAAACTCTCCCTGGATTCTGAAGAATATATGGTTATACCATAAAAATGTCCAAACAATGCAATTGAGCAGAAGGTGTTAGAGCTTGGGCCTTAGCTGGCTCTGCATTAAGCGACATTAATGTTTTTATACGGCCTTTGGAAAGCTCAGAATTGACCTGTTTTTATTGTTTTTATTGGCTCTCTTGATGATAGACAAATGGGGCTAACCTGAGGCCAACATAACCAGCAGGAAATTTGGGTCATGGGTAGTTACATTTTTAAAACTTGTGTTTTAGGGTTGTTCAGTGAGGATAATTGATTGATTGTTGGGCAGTGCAGGGAGCCCCTAAATCATCAGAGGTGGCCAGATAATGACAATCTGCCAGTGGATTGTATTTGAGGCAAATTTCCCAGCTCTCTACAGAGCTATGCTGTGCAGTAAGGCTGCGAGTCCCGTTTTTTTTTTTTTTTTTTTTTTTTTTTTTTTTTTTTTTTTTTTTTTTTTTTTTTTTTTTTTTTTTTTTTTTTTTTTTTTTTTTTTTTTAATCACACTCCAGCCCAACTGGCCTGTTTGGACAAAATAGCCTCTGAAACTTGGCAGTTCCATTTGAAGTCCTCTGTAGTGCCATTTCCCAAGAGATAAGGGAAAAACATTCCAGAGAAGTTCATACCCTAGGAAGACCCTACGTGCGTTTTGAAGTTAATCGTTTATTATAACTAGATTTTTTTTTCCTCTTTCATTTTTACTTTGAAGATAAGAGGTAGCAATTGTTCCTTTAAATTGTGGAGTTTTAGTCTGCCCTACAGTAAATAATCCTGAAAGTTTAGACCTATTTTTTTATCATGTATGTTTGAAGGTTTGCCAGAGATGCTATACAGGTGTACTTTCAGGAGCTACTGTCTTCAAGCACAAGCTGTTGACCTTGCTGTTCTATGTGACCACGTGCATCCTCAGTGCTCCGTGCATTTGGGTAACTTGTGCATACAAAATAGAGCTTTTTCAAGAACTCATATTTGGTGTTGTAGGAGCATGCTATGAGATACTTAAGAGATGGAATGAAGTAAAGAATTTATGTGTTGGGAGGGAAGGGGGCAATAGATGATATGCCAGTAAGTGGTAATGATGTTCAGTAGTATATGGCATAGGGCTTGCCTCTCCTAAAAAGTGAACTCAGATTAATATAGATTGGAGTTTGTTATTTATTCCAGAATAACTCCATATGTAGGTTAATCCTCAGTTCTTGGATTTTTAGGACTGTTTAAGCTTTTGTTAGTTGCAAGTGGCTTCCTCCCGATAACTACATCCCTCTGAATTCCTTGAAGTTTTGTCTTCTTCATTTTTAGGATCTGGATGGTCTGATATTTATTGTACTAGTGTGCAGATGATAATTTGTGTCTATCACTTTTCGAGAAGAGAACAGGTAATACTGAACGAAGGCAGGGTTCAGTTGAAATTTGTGAAGCAACAACCTTGTCTTGAGGGTGGCCCAGCTGCCCGAGTATGCCAGACTGGTGCCAAACACCACTGACTTGCTTCACAGGCGGAAGAGTCCCTGGATATGCTTGCTGTACATGTGATTTAATGCTCTGTGCCCAAACACACCCAGGGTGCCAACCCCTCCTCGGTTTCTGAATGTTCCTTTTTGCCTCTCGCATGCTTTTGACCACTGTAGCTTTGTAATTTGCTGCTTCAAGTTCACAGTGTGCACTTACTTTTAGATTTAGCATGTGGGTAGTTAGAAAATTCTTCTCCGAAGTATGAATTTGAATAGAAACATAAAATCTGACCACATAAAAGTCCCTTGAAAGATGTGTCCATGGCAAAACTTGTATGTCAGGAGCAGGGTGGGGCCCAACGTCTGCAGAAATGGTGTTTCCTATAGCATGGGCAGGAAAAAAAGTTTATTAAGAGCTTGAATAATTTGTGCTTTCTCTATTGAGACTTATGGTGAATCAGTGGACATATAAAAATCACAGTTTATGAGATGCTTGTTAGCATTTCTGAGGTTGTCAAAGAACAACTAAAATAAAATACAACCAAATCCAGGACCCCCTGAAGTGTTGTATGAAGTATGCTAGGCAATGGAACTTTCTGTTTCCATGTTCATGAAGTCAGACTCTAAAATCTCTGCCCAGGTTTCAGAAAAAACTACTTAGTTGTCAGAAGAGCTCAGAACTTAAATAATGAAGTTAAAAGCAGTGATTAACCTAATTGCATGTTTTTGTTATTGTATAAACTTATCTTTCTGATTTGCTTGGTTTGTATTTTATTTACTTACTCTGAATCTATTTAAGGAGTATATTGTTGGCTGTGGTGCCTTTTAACCATTGCTAGTCTATTTGAAGTTACTGTAGGAACAACCAAGAATAAATGTTTGCAGACTTGACTCTTTGGATTTTAAGAAGTTTGATGTTATCTTGTACACTATTAACTGACCCACAGGTTTCCACAGGGGTTTGTTGATCACAGGGCAAAGGGCAGGGTACTGGTGTTGCAGGGGACCTCTCGGATGGATCCAAGCGATCACTGCCACCAAGAGTGGAGGGATATTCTTTTCGCCTCTCACACCTCCCTCCTCATGCAGGAGCAGCCTGATCCTCCTGGTTGCCTTGTACTGACCCTGCTTCTCAGCTGATCCCACTGCTGAGCTGCACACCAACCAACAGCAGAAAACCGATGTGTGAAGATTTCATAGGCAGGTGTGTTTGTGTACACAGTGAGGCTGGCAGTTTGCCAGTATGAATAGTCACTCTGCTGTCCTGAGTGGCAGAGACCCGCAGGGTGGATCTGAACCCCAGCCCTGGTGTTACATCATGTGGATGTCAGTGTGGCACCTCAGGGGATTCATGTTTGAAGTCTCCTTTTTACACCCATGGGAAGTGAGAAGTAAGTGAAATGTCAATCACTGAGAACCTAGGACATCCCAGCATACTCTCATTTCCCCCCTCCTTTTCTCTTCCAGCCTTCCTCATTATAATCGTCTTTCAACCTATCAGTCATGTACTTCTCCTTGCTTCCACATAGCCTTTGCCTTACCTCACAGCATGGATGTGCTGTGGGAATGAGCCTGACCTGCCTAACAAGAAAGTCTTTTTATGTGTAGAAAACCTGCAGAAGTTGGTGAATATGCTATGAAGGAGGCAGAAGGAGAAGAGGGTCTTGGTCCTGTTACAGAGCTATTCTAGAAAACCACACTGGTCACTTAAACCACATGCTTCACAGGTTGTTCCTTCTGATTCTCATTTTCTGGATTTCTGACCTGAAAGCATGTCCTGGTTTGAGCCAGGATGAAGCCAATTTTTCTTTTTACTGACTTTTTTTTTCCTTCAGTAAGCTTTCTTGTAACTAGCAACTGTGTTCTGCTGGGCTGATAAGACAGTGGAATGTTTTTCTAACTACTGAGGCTTCAAGGCCACACCTGCACTCTGCCGGCTCAGACACTATGGGGAGATCTGTGACCCCCCCGTAGGAGGCTGAGTTAGACAGACAGCAAAATTGGCCAAAGATATTCCATTCCATATATCTACGTAAGCTCAGAGGAAGGTCAGAGATCACAGAAGACAACTTCCTTCCTTCTTCTTCTTCCCTTCTCTTCCGTCCACGGCCGGCATCCAGGGAGGACTCTGTTCATCCATCACCGTCGATCCTCAGGCTTGATCTCTCGTGACCCCCATAACTCTCTGCTCTTCTCCAGCAGCAGCTCCGGGATTCCTCGGGACTCTTCCCAGTTCAGGGAAGTGCTGTGGGAGTTGCTGGGGTGGGGGGAGGCGAGAGGCTTTTGCCCATTCCTGAACATATCTGTACATAATTGTATATATTTTCTTGTATCATTCATTAGTGTTTTAATTAAAGCTGTGTAGTTTAGTTTTCAATCCAGCCAAGTCTCTCTCTTTTTCTCTCTCTCCTTCCCTACCTGGGTGGGAGGGGGAGGGGATCGAGAGCATTGTTGTCGGACCTGAGTCAAACTGTGACAAAGCATAAGGTCAAGTTTGCAGATGTGCCAAGAGTTCACAATAGCAACTGAAGTCAGTGGGAGCTGGGCTTTCAATTCCCTGCTCAAGTACAAAATCAGGCCCAAGGAGGAGGCCCAAAATGAGAGGAAGCATTTGACCTTGTGCTTTGTACCATTTCTACCCATACTGCAGAGGCCGGTGTTCCCATCCTCTCGTCATACTGGTATGCAGAGAAGATCTAATCCTCAAGCTTCTCAAGTGGTAAGATGTTGCTGTCATGAATCTAGGACAAAACTTGGAGGAAATTAATAATTTTGCTGTTTTAGCAGCAAATAAGTCCCAGGGCCATGTGCTAACAAATGAGAATGCAAATGTTGAACAATGTTTCATTAAATGAACTGCTATTAGAAGAAATAATAACTTGTGGATGTAGGCAGGAGTATGACAAAATGATAAACCAAAATATGTGGTGAATCTTACATGATCTTCCTTCTGTTTTTCAGACTATTGGTGAGTCAGAAATGCCCAGTGTTTTGAACCAGTTACTGCCAATGATCAAGTCTTACAGTGCGAGGACGAAAGATGATTATACCTGTGAGGACTTCCTTGTCTTGCTGGTGTACATGTATTCTGTGGTTGGAGAACTCAAAAGTGGAAAAGAACTGGACACAGCTGAAGAAGAGGTGAAAAAGGCCCTAGTCAAGGTGATTTGTGATGAGCCAGAGCCATCTCCTTTGTTGCAGAAAATAACAGGTAAGATTCTGCTTGTGTCATGAGGAATCAGATGGCTGGGAAATGTGGGAACTGGGGCAAACACATCAAAGTGGCTTGACTCGTCTGTGGTGCTGAGGGTACATGAGTAAGCACAAGGATTTCCTGTAGATTTGTTCCATCTCTCATGTTCATATATGCAAAATGCTGACAGGCTCTCCTTGAAGAGTGCTGAGTCTGATGAAAGCCCTACAAGTTGTTCTTTTTGTTAAAGGTTGACTAAGTTTGTGTTTTCATAAGGTGATCTTTTCCACAATTTCCTTTATTGATCAATGTAAAGTTGACCCTGGGAAGTCAGAATTAATTCTGGGAACATGTTCAGTGGACCGCAGTTGCTTTGTGAATATGAGGAGCTGGCCTTGTCTGGCATGAAAGAAGAAATGTGTCTAAAACAAACATTGAGCTTTTTGCTGAAACGACATGAACATTATCCTTTAAAAATAGCAGGCCAAGCCTTTTTTTAGGTGAGTGCTCATAGAGTAAGAAAGCTCTAACCTCTTGCTGCCATTGTCACATTTTATTAAAGAAATATTTTAAAATGTAAAAAACTTTAATTAAAATGAGTGAACTATGGCTCAAGGGTGATATACCTGAATGGGAAAAGGCATCTCGCTTCCTGCTATCAGTTTTCCCAGTGTTTACTAACAGTGACCAGGTTGCTGAGCAGATCATCTTTGAGGCAGGGAGCAAATTAACAGAAATCAAGATGTTGTGAGGAGCTTAGAATTGAACGCCAAGAGTGGGCTTTAATGGGGAAGTCTCAAAGGTAGTGAAATGAGTAATACTGCTGTTGGTTATTCTGGTACTGTTCCCTGTGGATGCTTCTACTTCAGAATACAGGTGTAGTCTGAGCAGTCTGCTATTGCTTTGAGTGCAAAATACTGTAATGGTTAAAAGGCTCTTACTGTAGGAATGAACATGTTCGGTTATATTTGCACTGTGCTGTTATTTTAATACTCCTTGGCCATGGTGCCCACAGTGTTCCAGACTTCTTGTAGACTTTTTTTTCTCCTGTTTTTCAATATATACTGCACATCTTGTCCACTATATGATACTCCCCTCGACTTCAGTGGTGTCTTCTACTGGATGTGGTGCCAGAATTTCTGTTTTCATACTCTACTTTTTCTCCTATAATTGACAATGCTTTGAATCAGTTTTATGAGTTTGTCTTAGTTGTGCCTAGTGTAAGTATGGGAAGACTTGAAATCTAAAACTTCAGTCAAATACCAAAGAGAAGCTGCATTCCTATGTACATAGATGTTGCTCTCTGTGCTCTCAGGTTATGTATTTGCAAGCACAGATGAAGATCAAAAGAGATGTTCTGCTTGTCTTGTGTCCATAACCTTTCAGTCATTCCATACTTTTGCAAAATGCTTGTAGGCTTGATTTCCAGTGGACATGTTTCCTGCGTAAAAGTGAGTATCTGGGTGTTTGACCTCAAATTCTGGGCAGATGAACAGATGAATGGATGTTTCAGGACAGATTCTTCAGTTCATGAAATAAAATTACCCTGTCTTGTTACATAGTGGGAGGACTGTTGGAAGTGTGTTGGGCTTCTGATGTACAGCATTCACCTCCTTAGGCAGAAGTATGCATTCTGTTATGTGGGGCATCTGACCATGAAAAAGAGAAAGCCTTGGATGCTCTGCAAACACTGTTCAGTAACAGCCGAAGCATTTGTCTGTTATCAGTGCTGGTTTAGCCACAAATCCAACACACAGCACCATACAAGCTGTGGTCAATAAAGTTAACTCCATCCCAGCCAGGCTCACTATAAGTAGTTTTAGACCAAGCACATCATTATTATGTGATTAAGTTAATTGCATAACACAAAACCATCCTTGCATCCTTCTATTTCTGTATCTGTGTGCTGAGAACAGCCATGTTTGTACTTTTTGCAAAAGTGTGTGATAGTATTTCCCCTTCCTTGCATACTTTTTTGGTTTATCAGCATTCTTTGTTTCTACATCTTATTTAGGATGACAGTTCTTTTGCCTTATTCATAAAAGAGGAAAAAAAATGTTAAACATACTGTCGTGGCCAAAAATAAGGATTGTCTTGGGAGGAAAGTATAAAATGGAATTTCCAGTAATGCCCCTTTTCTAAGCCTTTATTAAACCAACAGATTGCTTTCTTAGCATTCGTGGAATTTGCTGAATTTGTAATTTGCTATGTCAGCAGTACAGTTGGTTTGGGAAGACTGAGAAAACATGAGCAACCTTAGACCTCTTCTTCCTTGACCTATATTTTGCCAGGCCTGTGTGTTCTACATCCTGCTTCCCTCTGAACCTTGGGTACCTTTCTTGCTGCTGGAGAGGTAAAGCAAGTCAGAACTGTAGGAGCACCCACAAGCTTTATCTCAACGGCACAGCAGGAGGACTGAAAGCAGGGCTGAAAGTCAGGGAATAGATGGCAGCACTGTTTTCTCCTTTTGGTACAATAGTGGGTATAATGTTGAGACATCTGCTTCCAGCAGAACATACTGTGATCTAAGGCTATTCCTTTTAGCAATACAAGTTGGCCCGTTCACAAGGTCAGCCCAGCTCTGCAAGTCAGCAGCAGCCACAGATCTGGACAGATCGTGTTCCAGACATACAACGTTCTGCCCTCATTGACTTTCAGTCAGAAACAAGAGAAAACCTTTTTGGCCCTTAAATGGCCACAGAAGTTAATTAGACTGAAATAAATGTCATTAATTCTTGGAATCTCGTATTCGTTACCAGACCATAGGAAAATGTTCATGATACTTTATTTTCAACCTTCCATCCAGGTAACTGATAGGAAGAATGTTAAATTGGGTGTGTTAGGAGAGAAAACTAAGGCAGTTACTGAGGGAGTTCAAGACACTGCCCACTGCCTCATTCCTCACCTTCAGGTTGCCACGTGGGACCTGAGTTCCTGAATATTCAGTATCCTTTCTGCAGTAAACCTGCCCTTACTAAGCAGCTTAACCTGCAAAGCTGCAGGTTGAAGTTCCAAACCCTGCTGGTGATGTATGCATGATTGGACAGCTTTCGTTACAGCAACAGATTGCAAAATGCACTGTTGCCTTTAAAAAAGGATGAAGAAGAAATAGTGAGTAGACTGTCAAGCTGAGTACTTCAAAGTTGAGAAATGCCAGTAACTGTTTCCTATGCCTTCATCATTTGACTCCTGTGTGCAATGTAGCACAGTCTTCAGTTTCGTATGATACAATGTATTTCCTGTGAGTCGTGGCTGCATTCAGTGTATGGACTGAACACAGCAGAGAAACAGAACAATATAGCTTCAGTTATTCTTTCACATGATGAATAAGTAGTAATAAAGTAAGTGAGACTCTCTATATTGATATTCAGTGAGTATAACTCTGGGTGTCAGTTTGCAGTTCATGAAGTGGACCAGTGCTCTCAGCTTTGTGTGACTCATTTTGAATCTTGAAGAAAAGCATTAAATTATGTTTTCAGGTGTTAGCGATTACATTTATTTGAACAGAGAGGACTTTGTGTCCTGCTTCCTGATACACCTGGTGTCTGTTGTTTTGGTTTTAAGTTTGGATCTAGCACTGTGCTAAGACTCTTTGATTTAAGTTGAAAAACTGTATCTCAGCTGTGAATTGCTGCTGCTTAGGCCTTTTGTTGAAAAACTGTATCTCAGCTGTGAATTGCTGCTGCTTAGGCCTTTTGTTTTCCTCTTCCCTGCGAAGTATGGGAGGTGTGCAGTCTTGAAACATACACATTTTTGTTGCTTCCATGGAGTCACTTGAGAAATAAAATGCAAAACCTTTGTAAAACTTTAGAAAACCTGACTTTTGAGGTCAGGTCATCAAAGTAATACCCAGCTTTATATGCGGTATCTTTTAGTCCTATTAAACTTGTTATACCACACAGAGCTAGTGCAGGCCTTCCCCAAAAGATGCAGTTCATCAGTGCACGGGGGTATTTATGCTGGTTTTGGTGTAACCTAGTGAAACTGGATTAGTATTTGCAGTAGTGGAAAAGAAAGCCATTCTCAGAGATGTTGGTCTGTCCAGTTGGCCACACTAGGTTTCCCTGATGTAGCCTGTATGATTACAGCCCTCGGCAGAATACGTTAAGATGCAGCATTTGTGTAAGCTTATATTGTGAAAGCACTGACAATTCCTGGCTGTTGAGCGTTAGGCTTCTCAACCTTATTGTTGCCTGAACATATGCAAAAATATTTCTACAATAGCATTCTGTATTGATGTAACACATTGGTTCATGGAAGCACTAAAAATATCCTGGAACTGTTAATTAAAATAAAAATGCAATACCTTAATCACCCAGTGAAATTTAAGAAATATGATACAATTTTTTGCGTGCATAATAATATAAAAATAGATTACTGGTGTTGTGTTTGATGGAGCTGTTAAATAATACGTGTTCTGGTAGACTATCAATGCTTTGAGTAATAAAACTGAATGTAACAGTTCCAAGATTTCTCCTGGGTGTAATTTACCACAGACATATGTTCTTCATCAGTGTTTCCAGCAGAATGTTACAAATTGGAAGGGAAACAGAATAGACCAAAACATAACAGAAAATGGTATTTTTCCATAGAATGCTGGGTTTGAGGGCATTTTTGAGGGATTTTTTTTTGCAGCTGTTAAAAAAAACCCTGTTAAATACTGTATTTATTTTATCATCTGTTCATCTATTTTTGTAAATGTCCATGTAGATCTGTGTACAACTACAAACGTATGCAGAAGTAATGCTAATAGATCCACAAAGCAGTTAAAACATCTATTCTTTCAGCTGCACTGTTCTCTCTTTTTCATCTGCAGATCTCTGTGGGAGCTTTGCAGGGCAGATCTGCCTGCTGTGGGGTGCTCTGGAGGCCAGTGGATAGCCCAAGGCTGCAGGGCAGCCAGCCACGCTGCCGTCAGCTGTGGGGGGCTGTAGGGATCAGTTGCCCCCTCTCAGGCAAAGGTGTGGCAGGAACCCTCTTGTAGCAGCAACTGCTGTTTATCAGCTTCTAAATACTGA